AAAGAACTATAGCAGTTTATCAGATTAGTTAACTATTATTGATAATTTATAAATGGATACACTATCTATATAACACCACTTTTTAAGCTTATAAAGAAGTTAAAGAAGTATTAGTAGAGAATACTACAGCAGAGCATATTTAAAGATATCAAGTAATAACTTACTATATTACTAATACTGGTATAGCATGATCCAGAGAAAGAAATCATTATTAAGACCAATATATTAGATTATGCTGTTAGTATGCGTATAATACAATCTGAAGAAGATAAAAAACTGAGACTAATTATATTTTACTCAAGAAAGTTGGTTTAAGTAAAACTCAATTACAATATTCATGACAAGAAATTATTAATTATAGTAATAGTATTCAAGTAATGAAAGGTCTATCTTAAAGAAGTAAAGCACACTGTTATTATAAAGACAGACCATAAGAACTTGACCTATTTTATAATAACTAAAGAGTTGACCTGAAGACAGATAAGATGGACTGAGATTCTGTTATAATATGATTTTAGAATTATATATTATAAAGAAGCAGAAAATAGATATATAAATATATTAAACCGCAGGCCAGACTATAAATTAAGTAAAAAAGCTATTGAACTAGCCATTCTGAAGTGAAATACAGATAGATTGATCAGCTATAATAAAGCTAACTTAACAGTAATACTGGAAATAGATAGTAACCTAATTAAATGATTAGCTGATAATATAAAAAATAATAAAATACTTCAAGAAATGAGCAAGGGCTTACTAGACAAGATTATTATTGATAAAAATAGACTAATCTATTTTTATGGATTAATCTTTGTATCAACTATAATAAGAATAGAGATTATGACTAGATACTATAACGAACCACTTAAGGATTATCTAAAAGTGGAAAAGACTATTAAATTAATTATAAGGAATTACTATATTCCGAACCTCAGATAAAAAGTATGTGATTATATTAAATAATATAAGACTTATATTAAGAATAAGCTTGCAAGACACTAACCCTACGGATAAATACAAGTATAAGAGGTGCCATAACAGCTATAAAAATAAATAATAATTAACTTTATTAGTTTATTACTTAAATCAGAGAGATTTGATATTATTATAGTCATTACTGATTGTTTTACCAAATATATCTATCTTATATTAAGTAAAGTAACAATATTAATAATACAGATAATAGAACTGTTTCTTGAATATATTATCATATATTATAGAATACTAAAGTATATTATATCAGATAGAGATAAATTATTTATCTTAAAGTTCTGGAGATTACTCGCAGATCTTATAGAAATTGAAAAATAAATAATAATAGCTTATCACCTGCAGATAAACAAGTAAATAGAAAGGGTTAATCAGATAATTAAGTAATATTTGAAACACTATATAAATTATTAGTAGGATGATTAAATAAATCTGTTACTAATAATATAGTTCTCATATAATAATGCCAGTTACTTAATTATTAGAGTTTTACTGTTTTATACTAATTACAGTTACTATTCCAGGTTTCTGGAAACATCATTAAGAAAGTAATAAGTTATTAATATAGTTAAGGATATTATTATATTTATAGGAAACATATATTTTCAGTTATTCTGAAATATTGAGTTTATGAATTTATATAGTAAGATATACTATAATTATAAACACAAAAAAAAACCTGATCTAAAAAGAAGAAAGTGTTTCTACTTTATAGAAATATTAAGACAAAATAACTAAACCAGAAGCTTGATTATCACAAGCTACGACTATTTATTATTAAAAATAAGAAGAAACTAGTTAACTATAAGTTAAGATTGTTAAAATTGATAAACAGAATTTATTTAGTATTTTATATCTCATTGCTGGAACCCATACCAAAGAATACTAGAATTGTAGAAAATATGGAGATCGATGATAATACAGAAAAAGAATATAAAGTTAAAAAGATCCTGGACCACAAGAAGATTAATAATAAGTTATAATATTTAATAAAATAAAAAGAATATAATACTTTAGAAAATATATGGGAACCTATTGAGAATCTGACAGGCTGTTATCAGCTTATAAAGCAGTATTATTAACAGATAGATCGAAGTTTGTCTAGAAGGAAGGGAAACTAATTAACTAAGTCAGACTAGAATTATCTAACACAGCGGCAAGCTAAGCAGTGTTATGCTCATCAGCCAGACGCTCCAGCTCCCGGAGATCCTCAGCACTTGAAAGATGTTTATCATCCAACAGATCTAATATATTCGAGTTGTGATCTAATATCTGACTATCATAATCTTTAAGAAATTTTTGATGTTTTTGTAAACGTTTTATTTTCACAAATAACTGCTTAATCTGCTCTTCAGTCTCTTTAATCTCTTAAGCTATCTTTTCTTTATTATGTTAAAGCTTATCCCATTCGGAGTTACTGTAAAATCATTTTTCATATTTTCAGCCACGGTGAGTATAGGCTGCACAATTTTAGTTCTTAGAATCCATGAAGTAAGAAAGACCATGGGAATCATACTAAGTATAAGAGAAGTCAACCTGGGCACCACTGCGAATAATTCAGTCAGCTTGGTGACAGTGTTCTTTGTAGTAATTACACGGAGGCATGATAATCTATCCTGAGAGAAAAAGAAACTAAAGAATTTAGATTAATGCACACGGGAACACGCACCTTTATGTTCTTAAGAACAAGAATCTCAAAGAAAGGGAGGTGGTGTTATGGACTTCTGCTAGCTGAATAACTAGTAAGGCGGATATATTAGGTAGAAGGTAACGCCCGGATAGATAACCACTCTTATCAGATAAAGTCCCGAGCTGAGTCATTACGTGTCACATGTTACATAACCATGGTATACAGATAAGCATGTGGTATATAACATACCATTATGATCTATCACTATCAAACGGGTATACAGCAGACCCGATGGTATACAGAATGGTATGCAAGGAATAGGATATATAAGAATACTTCCTCACGTACTTAGTTAGTCCTGTTCTTCGTGCTCAATATAACTGTCTTTAAGTAACCATATATTTTTGGTAAAGTTTAATAATAATACTTGTCTACACTTACTTACAGATAGCTGTGTGGCACTATCTAGCCTTACTTCTCTTCTTCTATTCAGGACCAGTTCTCTTTAGATAATCATCAGCCTGACTTACCTTGACCCAGTTCAAAGGTACGCATTGGAACAGAAGCTAAGCTAACAGGAACAGGGAGAAGCGATCCTAGGGTTTGACAAAAGATTCTAGCAGGATTAGAAAGTCTAGCTTAATATTTATTATATTAAGATATTATAATTTAGTAAGAAATTAAATTAAAATATTCTAAATCTATATCTGATCAAGAAAATAATTAGCTTCTATATTTATTAATTAAGATTTACTTAGTTTTTAATATTAATCTACTGAATTTTATTAATAATAACTTATTATTAAATTAGTATTAACCTTCTCTACCTCATATTAAAATCAATAAACTTGAAAAATAAAAGATTAAAAAGATTTTAGACTTTTTTTAAAATTATTAAGTTATCCTTACTTAATAATTATATCTTGTAAAGTAGATAAAATATATTAATCTTATTACTAAGCGTATTAAATATTTAAAAAATATTTATTAGATTATAAAAAACTTTTATCACTATTATCTATAAAAGCTCTTACCTGTCAAACCCTAGGATCGCTTCTCCCTGTTCCTGTTAGCTTAGCTGTCGTTCAGATGCGTACCTTTGAACTAAGTCAAGGTAAGTCAGGTCGATGACTATTCAAAGAGAACTGGTCTTGAACAGAAGAAGAGAAGTAAGGCCAGATAGTGCCATGCAGCTATCCGTAAGTGAGTGCAGACGAGTGTTGTCACTAAGCTTTACCAAAACATATGGTTACTTAAAGATAATTGGATTGAGCACGAAGAACAGAACTAACTAAGTACATGAAAGAGTGTCCTTATATCCTATCCTTCGTCGTAGCACTGATACGTCCTGTCGTAGCGCTGATACGTTATAGCTTATCGGTGATATGTCCATCATGGTCACGTGCCGTGTAACGGCTCCGGTTGTCGGTTACTCAGATCGGGATTCTACTCGATAAGAGTCTTCATCTGTCCGGACGTAGCCTTCTGCCTGACGTGTCCGCCTCACTAGTCGTTCGGCTAGCAGGGGTCCGTAACATTACCTCACAAAAGCTTGACTTCAAAAAAGAGATATATTATTAATAATATAATTAAAATATATTTTTATTAAGATTTTATATATTACTCCACATACTGTTAAAAAGCCTTTTATTTTTATAACTCTGTTTATAGCCTCAAGCTATGTTTTATCTATTAATCTGTATATAAATTGACTAACCATCTGCCTGAATATAAGTTATCTTGATTAAACCTGCCTGCCTGAGTCTTCTATCTTATCATCCCGCCAGCCCGCACCTTGACAACTAAAGCCATTAGAATTCAATATCAATTCACCTAATCCTATTACTACACCCTTCCAACAGTCAGATACAGTGATTTTATGGACCCTCACACCTGCACCTACAACTCCGGACCCAAATTCGTCCCGCCTGCTTTCTCCTCCTCTTTTACATCTTGTTCTATATCAACCATAAAGGTATGATACGGGCAAATACCGAACGCCTCAATCTAGCCCAATCCAGCAGTCATCTCATAGCCACAGCATTTAAAAAGTCAAAAATGTGTGCTCCGAGAGTTGAATCTTGCTCATAAAGACAAAAATCACTACACAACATGATAATATTTATCAAATCAGTACTACTATGCACACTAAACCTAAAGCGATTCTGCCAGGCAGTATTAGTATCAATATTAGTATCAATATTAATACTGCAGAAGTTCTCTATTGAAGATGAGATGAATGCTGGTTGCGATTGATTACATAAGATAAATAAATGATTTCACGTGAAGAGGGTTTCGGAGGTCGGAGCTTACTTTTCCGTCAAAATTAAGTCAAAGGTGAGACGAAGCGGAAGTTACAAACCGAGCTAGCGGGTTATTACTACAGTTAAGGGAAAACGCTACTCCGTACAGACCATCGGTTTGAATCTTCCAGCCTCCAAATCTGTCTCCCACCCTCACCAGAGCGTCTATTGTTTGTTCTACCTCTCCGATATGTCGACTCACACAGCAAAAAGAAGGAGACTGAGCCCCTCACCGGACAACTCCTCGCGCACACAGATTTCCCATGGAAATGGACAGGACGACAAAGATGTTTTCAAAAACTCCCGGAAAACCAATTCCTCTACTCCGCGCATCATTGAACGAGGAAATAATGATCGTTCCGCTGAACTTGCGCTCGCCAGCGGCTTTTACAAGTCCAGTTTATTCAAGCTACAGTTGGACGAGCTACTGAACGAATTGAGGCCGAACTATGATAAACAAGTATCGCGACTTCAAGAGACTCTCCAGAAGCTAAAAACCGTTATCGAATCCCTTCCAGAAAGGCCCCCAAGGTCAGCCCTGGAAGCAGAGAAAGAGCTGCGTGGCGCACATGGTATTACTGTCCCGTTCCCCGAACCTCGCCCAGGAAAGGAGACAAAGTATACTGTATCATACTCTAGGCCAACAAATATCAATGTGGTGGGAAGCGTATCTCTAAGGACGGGTGCAAAAAGTGCCAACCCGCTCACTGTGGACTTGGTGGTGACGATGCCAAATACCCTTTTCCAGGAGAAGGACTACGTGAACTACCGTTATTTCCACAAAAGGGCCTATTACATCGCGAGGCTCGCGGCTGGAATCAATGGGGCGGAAGGATTGAACTTCAACGTCAAGTTTGGGCTTCAGGATGGCGACAGCCTTCGTCCTGTTATTCTACTGGAACCTAAAGGGACCGACAAAAAGGAGACTGCCCCGGCAAAATTTCAGATCCGTATAATTACAGCCATTGAAGACACCCTATTTCCGATTTCTCGAACCTTGCCAGCTAGAAACAACATACGTCAGGGCTCAACGGATACGCCTGCGTCTGAAGAGTCTACTCCGTTTTACAATGCTTCTCTTCGCTCAGAGGCCACGGTAGCTTTGTATCACAAATACCTATACAACGCTGCTCGGAACTGTGAATCATTTAGGGACGCTTGCGTATTAGGCCGGACGTGGCTTCGACAGCGCGGTTTGGGTTCGTCATTGTATTGTGGCGGGTTTGGCGGGTTTGAGTGGACGGTACTCATGTCTCTTCTCTTTGAAGGAGGAGGCCCGAACGGCAAGCCTGTCCTCCTAAAATCATACAGTAGCTACCAGCTGTTCAAGGCGACATTGCAATTTCTTGCAGGAAGGGATTTGACAAACCCATTGCTGTTTTCGGCTACAGACGTCCTCTTCAACGGCGGGGTTCCAGTCTTGTATGATGGCAAAAGAGGGCTGAACGTTCTTTATAAGGTGGCTCATTGGTCCTATGCCTTCCTTCGCCGCGAGGCAAACATCACCGTCAAAATGTTAAACGAGTCCCGTGATGACAACTTTGACAAGGTCTTCATCGTCAAAGTAAACGAATCTCTCCTCAAGTTTGACCGGATCGTCAAACTTCCGTCCCCGGATAGCGCAAACATTCTCCAAACCATCCACAACCAGGCTGCAATTTATGATGTGCTTGCCAAGGCACTTGGGGACCGAGCTGATCTTATACATATTTACAGGGGTTCTGCCGAGCCCTGGCCGGTGGAGGCAAAGCCGAGCCGAAAGCCGGAAAACAAAGGTGTTTTTGTGGGGCTGCTTCTGAATACCGAAAATGCTGCGCGTGCTGTCGATCATGGCCCGTCTGCAGAGCAAAAAGAAGCAGCAGTGTCTTTCCGGTCTTTTTGGGGAGAGAAGGCCGAACTCAGGCGCTTCAAAGACGGCAGCATCCGGGAGAGTCTGGTATGGACTGATGAAGAATCTTCACCATCTATAGTTTACCAAATCTTGGCGTACATCCTGAGACGTCACTTCAATTATACGGAAGACGACGTGGATTTCATTGGAGACGAGTACGACCAGAAGCTTCGCGATGGCGGCGATGATGTTTTTTCATACTCTAGCCCGTCTTTTTCATTGATCACTGATGCTTTCAATTCCGTACAGAAATCTATCCAAGACATGGATGGCGTCCCCCTCACAGTCAAGCAGCTAGCACCAGCTAGCCCAAGTTTGCGTTATACTGCCCTTCGATTGCAGGGCTCTACCAAATTACCATGCAACCCGGCGGACATTGTTCTTCAGTTTGAGAGTTCGGCCCGGTGGCCGGATGATCTGAAGGCTATTCAGATGACCAAGGTGGCCTTCCTTGTCAAGATAGGGGACTGTTTGAAGTCGTCTGGGGTTGCTTCCATATGCAGAGTCGGATTGGAGAATGAGTCAAGCGGGATACTCAACAATGCGTTTCTGGACATTACCCATACGTCTGGAATCGTCTTCCGCCTCAGGATCCATCATGATCGGGAGCAGTTACTGCTAGAGCGTCAGCTGAAGGATAAGGGAGCTAGCCCGCTGGCAAAGCAGCAGGTGGCCTACGCCTTATCTGCGTATAAGCGGCTATTTATCCAAACACCTCGTCTGACGCAGGCAATTCGTACTCTGTGTACACGCTTCCCGCTGCTCTCACCAACAATCCGCCTCGCTAAACATTGGTTCAATTGCCATTTGCTCGCAGGACATGTCAACCAGGAACTGATCGAACTCCTGGTAGTCCGTGTCTTTACCCAACCCTATCCATGGGACCCTCCATCAAGTGTTATGGCTGGTTTTTTAAGAACTCTTCACCTTCTTTCTCGATGGGACTGGCAACAAGAGGCACTAATGGTCGATTTCGGGGAACTGGATAAGAGTGCAATGGAAGCGATACAGACACGTTTTTCTGCCTGGAGAAGTATTGACCCGGCGATGAACACCGTCGCCTTATTTGTTGCTTCCGATATTGATCTTGATGGCGTGACTTGGACTCAGCATGAAATGCCTCCAAAAGTCGTGGCTGCTCGAATGTGCACGTTGGCTACGGCAGCCATGAAATTGCTGCGGGAAAAGGGGCACGACCTTGCTATATCAGATCTATTCCATACATCCCTAGCGCCTTATGATTTTATCATCAACCTTCGCCCGGAACTGCTACATGAACGCTCGGCGCTGTCAGCAAGGTTTAAGAATCTCGACGGACGGAGAACCGCGCAGGCTGCTAAACCTGCAATCGTCAAGTCCTTTGCCCGTGACCTGCAGGCTTGTTATAGCCCAAACATGCTTCTGTTCCATGGTGATGAAGGCTGCAGTGTTATTGCCGGAATTTGGAATCCGCAGATCCTCATACCCAAGAGTTGGACACTGAAGTTGGCATATTCAACGTGCCCAGCAGCATCTAAGGCCGCCGATGAAGTAACTATGAACTGCCAGGCCGTTCTGAGTGAAATTTCTAGGCTAAGTGCTGACTTGGTTGACAGCATTGAAGTCCACACAAGGGTGGCTTCGGAAGAGTAAATTCGAGGTTTTTGTTGTCAGGCTTCTTAAATTGCCTCGTACCAGTTAATACCTAGAAGCGCCGTGGCAATGCAATCGCGAAGGGAGAAGCCAAAAATGCGTGAGAAAAACAAATGCTGAATGACACTCGTACATATACTATTAGCCCCTTCTCACCTCCTTCTAATCTACGGGCCTGCCATTGCCTTCTCTGCCTTTTCAATAGGTGCCTGAGACGAGAATGAACAGAAATTATCTTTGATCGCCACAACTTCATAAGTGCCTTCGTCAGATGTTTTGATGGTTTTTGTGTGTTCGTAAGAGATGTCGTGCTTGATGTCGAGGATCTCAGGCTTCTTCCCTCGTCGGATATTCGAGCTCCGGATATACCTAAGGAATAGTTAGTTGAAGGAATACTATACGTAAAAGGTCAGTGAGAAACTCACGTGAACTCGAATGGTGGTGTGCCCCAGAAATCAAACTGAAGTTCTGCTTCTCCTCCTTCGTGTATATCAACAACTGAAACTTGGCCTTTGCTGATTCTGACGCTCGGCATCTCGTGGATTGTCTTCGTTATATTCTTGTGTGCCTTGCATTTCCCGCTTGCGCCGTCGCCTACAGCAGTGATGGTGAAAACTCCTGGTCTCTCAGCAATGCGACGAAAATTTGTGGTCCTGGAGGTAGCCTTTTTAGATGCTCCATCGAAAGTATAGAACACATCAAATGGGGCATGACCAGACAGTGAGAAAGAAAGCCTTTCTCCGACACAATAGTCTGTCTTGGACTCCAGGGGAATTATCGTAGGCACGTCCGAAACAGCGACTCTCACTGAAGAAGCATCGTATTCAGTTTCTTGCTGACATCCGCGCGCATCTCTTACTTTGCGAATGCTGACAACATGTTGGCCCAAGTCAAGATGACGTCGCGGTAAAGGAAGATTATGTCTGTTGGACTTGATGTTGGGAATTGACACTATTTCTGGTTTGGCTTTCGAATGGTGCTTGATGGAGATTTCGAGAAAAAACGGTGGGACGCCCTCCAAGGTTATGGGAATCAACTCCTCTCCGCTGATGTCTTCTTTGCAGAAACCATATATACGGCCAGGCGAGTCAAAACGCGCAGAGGGGAGGGGGTTTACCTTTTGCGTCACAACCACTGGTCGGCTTCTAGGATCGTGATCGTAGAGATTGTCGCCGACTTCTGTAAATTTGTACGTATAGAGACCAGCTTCTGAAGTATCCATTTCCATGGAAGCAGCATGAAGGGCCGTCTTCAGACTCTGAAGTCTAACAGAAGGCGAACCACGAGACGTCTTCCGTTGTTGCTCGTATTGTATTTCATACGGGGGGTTGCCCGACAGCCGGACTTCGAGATTGTCATCTTCGCCTTGACAAATATCACGCTTTAGTATGTGGCCATCGCTACCGATAGGAGAACCATCAACGGCAGTGATCTGAGGGCGAGGTATCCAGGACACTTCAAAGACGTTGGCTGCCTGCTCGACAGAACCGGGGCAAGAACTATCGGTAACTCCAACGAGTTCATACTGCCCTTCTTGGGCTACTGTCAACACACTATTTTCTTGCCAAAATGTCTTCTCAAGGACAGCAGAACGGGTGTCCAAATTTCGATATCCCACATTCCATGGCCGCTCCCCGCTGAGCCTGACTGGAATGTCAACCTTGGAGCCTTGCAAGGCCAAGTACTTTCTGCTCTTTTCAATCTGGCCGAATGAGGCGTGAGGTGGTTTCGAGCGAGCATCAATCTTGATACTGTCCCTGAGAGTTCGTTTGCAATTCGAGCGGTCTTTGACGCCCGTGAGTACCACGGCATACTCGCCACCACTGACGAGCCTTTCGGTCACTACCGTGGCGATTTCGGTGTCAGACAGCAGGCTGTACTTTGTCTTCTTGCCGTTATGAACAAGCTCGTATTGCAACGTCCATGGTGCTTCTCCTAAAAAGGCTACATCCATGGACACCGGCTCCCCGAAGCAAGCCGTGCGAATTTCTTTGGAACCAAGAAAACGGGCAGAAGCAGGAGGCTTCACATCTTGTTCGAGAATGGGCACTTTGTCTTTGAGAGATCGTGGGGCATAGACTGTGTCCGCGATGTCTAAGAAACGATACCGGTAAGAACCTGCTTCTGAAGGCGTAAAATCCAGCTGAGCACGCAGCCCATCAATGGTCTGGGATCTTGTCTCCACGCCTTTCGAATGCTCAACAACATATCGAACTCGGAATGGTGGTGATCCAGTGAGGTCCAAGTCAACGAGCAGACCGACAGGATTATTCGCGCATTTATCGAAAACCTTCTCATATCTGAGAGCTAACTCCGGCTCCGGCGGATTGCGCAGATAACAAGATGACGGTTCTAGCATTTCCCCAGAGCAGAACTGACTAGATATGGAACCCAGGCTGTACCAACCCGGATCCTTGATCTGAGGCTTCTGATCGAGACCCTTGAGTGACATCTGACGTACTTTACTGGGTTGCTGACCCAAACTTCCTTGATCGCTACCGCTGAACGAGTACACCAGAGAAAAGGGTCCGTCATTCTCATAGCCCTGCCCAGAAGGGTGATATTTAATGGGCAGGTCAACACTATCACCACGCGCGACCTCTAGAAAGCTCTGGTCATTGCAGCCAGACAAAGACAACAGAGGTCTTTCATGAACGGAGAACAAATGCCACTGTGACAATGACTTTGTCGATGATCGGTCGTATAGATCCAGGAGTGCTGAGTAGTTTGCAATGTTGCCGGCACCGTCATGGACCTCTTCGATGGTATAAAGCCACTCCCCGCCGACATTCAATGATTCATTCAAAGGAACTTCGATGATTTGATTCTGAGCCCAGGCGACTTCGGGCTCTTTGATATGGAAAAGAATACCGGAGTTTCTCTGACCTAACAAAGGCGAGCGCAGATTATCGGGTTGGATATTCTGGAAGGAAAACCCTCGGTCAAGGTGGTTCACTTGTCTGCTGTATTTGATTTTCAATGGAGGTGTGCCTTCGACCGAGAGTATTAAATTTGATAGTTCTCCCCGGCATTTATGGGCGTGTGAATTCTTGATCAATGCCCGAGGACACGAGACGACAAGAGCGTCGGACGGCCGCATATGTACGTCAAGGTTAGACTCGTCCACTACCCTTTGCAGGCGATAGATTCCTGGTCGCCGAATCGGATAAAGAAGGTCCCTATGGAGATTTGAGCCGGAGCTTTGATGGTTTTTCTCAGCCTGTCGCTTTAGCTGTTTCAGCTGTTTTGATGATAGCGAGATCGTTTCGTTCGTGCCGGTGTCAAAATCCAGGCGTAACAACTCGATGAGAATTGGATCCGTCTGATTAACTCGAATGGGCAAGTTGATGAGATTTTTTTGTGTGTCTATGCAGAGCGGCACCTGATCTGGATTTAGGACAGCAGAACTATATATGACCTCTGTCAGTGACACCCCAAAGTACAGACTATCCCGAATGAACTCACCCTTCTGGTAGGATATGGACAATTTGCTTCCCCAGAATGAGAGATGCGTTGTGAATGATATCTCCGGGTTTCACACTCCGTTCAGAAATGGACAGCTCTCTATCATAGGCCAATTTAACCATTCCTGCGATCCATGCCCCCACCGGAACCTGGGTACATGTTAGCAAGCCTTGTTTACTGCGGCGACATGATCAAGCATACGGGAATCCGAAACATAAGGAATATATTGCCCACAACATGGATTATGAATATTGCAAGTGTAGTGGGAAAGGCCCATTCTAACCACGGGATGCGCAACGCCTGCAGACCGAAGAGAAAGATACCATCCACAGCAGCCCATTTGAGAAACAGCCAGGTCGAATCCAAGTCATCAGATGCCGTCCAAGACTCGTATACCCGCCAAGCATTCAGGGCGACATAGAAAGCCGCAATATAAAGTCGCTGCGACGGGGCATCTATCACCCCAACCGGTATGAGCGGCAAACTCGTATTTGGGTTGGCCGTAGGTGCTTTTGAAGGAGAATTTCTTATTCCCACATCTCGAGATTTAGATTTAGATGGTGAGTAACTGGGTCCTCTTATCTTCGAAGCCGTTTGTGGTGTCTGCGGAAAAGCAGACCGTAGTCGGGGAGTACCGTTCATGGCATGCTGTGATTTTAGAATATGCACGATGCGATCAATCTATGTCAGAAGTAAAAGATGAGCTTCTATACCTTCAAAGTAATTGCTGATCGAAGGAAGTTTACCCACAAGAGTCAAGAGCCGCGGGGGTTCTGGATCGGATTATTCTGTGCTGAGAAACCAGAAGAGAGAAAGATAAAAAAAACAGAGGTTAACTTGGTTTGCGCGTAATGAGATAGCTTGGGACCCAAGTCCAGTCGTTGCGTAACCCGATAGGTTTATTTGACTATTCCGCAGAGTAGTTGGATGTGTGGAAACACGGAACAATAAAGATAAAACCGAGGCACAGAGAGATGCAAGGGTCCAGCTTTTAGCTGTCAGGGCGCTTTTGCAGCTGGATACTGGACCGACCGGTGTACGGAGTAATCCGTAAGTAAAGATGTATGATGATCACGTGCTGCTGATGAGTCCAGGAGGTTTATGATGATTGGAGCGCGCACACGCGTCACCATATTCCGTCATAGTACAGGAGTATCTACGGGACCTTCAGATTGTGACCGGTTTTAACCGCAACCATTACATTGTTTGGGGTTATTTGCACTGCATTATAGTCATTGCGATTTATACCGGCGTAGAGGATAGTAAGAACATGGTAGCCGCCTTAGTCCATCGTGGAAACCACTCCATTATCTTTAGTTGGTTATATCAACTAATAACGATGGTAGGTACGTGCGCAAAGCCGCAATCCTAGGAGTCAGGACACGTGCTGTAAGGCCGTATACCCAGGTAGCATTTACCGACCCAAGCCGACTTGTGCACCAATGTCATCGATTTGCACTCCAAAGCCCTAGCCATTTTTAATTGTGGTTGTACAGTGACATGGTGCTGCCTCAACCCCCTCCTTTAACGTCTAAACCGCCAGCTTCTCCAACTTGCTTCAATTGTTCTGCAGCCATCTCTGGGATCACTTAAAATCCAATACGATAGGTCGGTGCTTGGTTCTCGCCTTGTCCCTTCAGAACCTCCGACCCGGGTCTGCACCGAAGTATCATGACCCACCAGCTGAAACGACGACGGTTGATTGCTCAACCCAATACCGTGGTAGACGATGACACTGGGTGTTTGGATGACTCATGCCCACCGGCATCGAGACTGGAGATGGATGGTTGGAACGGCTTCTGTGAGCTTGAATCGGAACCTGTATGCTCATAGAACCGATTTTCCCGCGTGTTCTAGCCATCTAGCATGGTTAACCTCCCTCCTATAGGCTATTTTTAATGTCATGCTCCGAGAGTTTGGAGTGAAAGGAGTCAAGGTTCAAGAAGTCATATCGCTCGATGAGGAAATAATGGCAACTCTTAAGTGAGCGCCGCCGAAATTGCAACTAATTCAGGGCCTACTAAGAACTTAAACCTCTGCAGTAAGCCCGTCTATGGCCTGATCTTTCTATTTCGTTGGCGGGAGGACGATCCAGATAAGCAAGAAGCAAGCTGTCCAGAGGGCCTCTGGTTTGCCAATCAGGTCCGTCCATTCCTGCTCTATGGCAGCCCATGAAAACAATTGCTGATGATTCCGAACAGACAGCCAGTAATGCTTGCGCTAGCGTGGCTCTCCTAAACATTGTGAACAATGTTGAGGACATTGATCTTGGAGAAAATCTGCAACACTTCAAAGACTTCACCATGCCGTTCACGCCTGCATTGAGGGGAGATGCAATCAGTAACTTTGACTTTGTCAAAAGAATACACAATTCATTCGCGAGGTAAGTACATTGCTCAGTCAGAACTTCTGCCATAGCTAATCTTGTGGCAGGAAAATGGACATGCTTAGCTCCGACTTCCAGCTCAAGGCCGAAGCCACATCGAAGCGAAGTCGCTCCGCCAAGAACAGAAATGCAGAGGATGAAACAGATGCGGGTTTCCACTTCATTGCCTTCGTTCCTGCCTTGGGTAAGGTCTGGAAGTTTGACGGTTTAGAACGCCAACCCCAGGCGCTTGGTAAGTGAGCCAATGAGTTATCGGTCGTTGTCGCTGATTGGGTTAACTTGTAGGCCCTTGCTTACCGGAGGATGATTGGCTGAATCTAGTGAAGCCCAACATTCGCATCAGAATGGAGGAATACGAAGAAGATCAGATTGAGTTCTCCATCCTGAGTATTGCTAAGGATCCACTTCCGGAGCTCGTTGGTCAATTAGAAGTCAATGTAAAGAGCCTAGAAACCATTGACAGGTGCATAAAGGCAAGTGCAGAGGGGCCGCCCGACCTTGGGTCGACCATTATCACAGATTCCATGCTCGGAACTACTGTTCTGGGCCCTGATGAAAACTATACACTGACGAGGACAATGATTGACCAATCGTCTATTCCTACAGCACAGAACAGCGAGTATCAAACATTCTCGATGGAAGAATTCATTCAGCACCGGCAGCGGTTAAGCCATGCTCAACAGAATCTCCGGGTATTGATCCGAGAGGAGCAACAGTCCCAACAGGCAGATGATGACTATGCAGAAGGCCGAAGATATGACTATGACCCCGCCGTCCGAACATGGCTACGATTCTTAGCACGGAAGAAAATCATCGAGAACTTGCTGTGACGCCGCTGGAAGACCGTCATGTGGTTCTTGATATCTCTCTCGTAGCCTTCCCGAGGAATGATGTTGTGTGTGACCTGGAGAACGTGAAATGGCCACCGACAAATGCGGATGACCGCATAGACATACCCAATATATACCATTTCCGGCGTGTGGTTATCTTCTACACTTTCCTGTCGGGTCAGGGAGCTGATGACCTAGCGATTAAGGTAGCGGTATGTATGTATCTACATGGAAGCCATGAAGGCAGCCTGGGACGCCAGACCATACAAATGAGGCAAGGCAATAGATCATTGTTATTGACGGATGCGTATAAGGGAGACGTCGACTACTGGCAGTAGGTAGCAGATAGGTGGAAGTGTGGGTGTACCTCCAGGAACCTATTGAAGGCCAGACAGGGAACCCCGTGATGCGCCGATTGGATAACCGTTCGCGGCGACCGTTCAGCCTTCAGCTAATTTACGTACTAGGCACTAGTAGTATCTAGTAGTTGTTGTAGGTTGTCTTTCGTTCCCTAAATCCTGCTTCATGCATTCTGGCGACCGGGAGAGAAAGCGGGAGAGAGAGAGGGGGGGAGAGAGAATAATGACATGGACACCTTGATGACTCTTAAAGGCGAATGGATGATTTTTACTATACCTGAGCAATCCTTCCTCGTGGGCTTGGTCCAATACAACAACTATCACCTCTCCTTTCTTACTGCTACTGACTAGATTGTCCGACGGGATGCAATTAGACCTTCCCAACCCCTTTTCTCTCCTTTTCCTATATTGCTGGTCTTCTTGTCGCGGGCAGTTGATATTTCCCCCAACTTCTAATTTGCGCTTGAAATTCCTCAAATTTACTCCATACCTGCCCCTGCCACTGTGGCCCGGTTGGCGTGACTCTCTCTGCTTGGTCTTAGTCCATCCTGGGTTGCCCTCCCTTAGTTAACTCGGTGACGGTGATGGTGACGGTGACGGTGACGTAGAAATTAAGAACGTCACCGCCTGGAGTCCAGTGCACGCGCCCGCCGCGTTATTGTTTCAGCACAATTCTGCACTTCTACTTTGCTGCTCGAGTCCCTGGCTGGTCCTTGTTGGTTTGATTAAACGAGTATCTGTACCCGCTGTGCAGTCCTTCCTCATCTCCAAGTCTTGTGATCCTCCGCGAGTCTGCCGGGTGCACACCGCAGATCTGGCTCTGACGCTCGCTCACACCTGACCCTTTTTGCCACAAGCGACTCAAAGAACGTCGTCATCTTTTCTTCCGGTCGAATCTACGTTACATTTTTGAATCCAGGGCCCATCATGTCTTCGGTCACGGCCCAAGACATTCCCGAAAAGACACCCGATGATTCTTCCAAATTGAAGACTTTCTTGTCCATTCTCCGAAAGTACGTGAGATTCTGACATACGCTATACCGTCCCTCACTGCTCCGTACATCTCGGTCAGTTTGTGCTGATAGGAGCGTGTGGCCTTGCCAGGTTCGTCGGAGTGGCCGACATCGCGTCTGTTCGTTTCTCATTGCCTGCGCATCTTCTAGAACCAACCCCAAATCTTGGTTAGTCCCCCTTTGTGCTAGAGCACACGAATCATCTTCGCCAGCCGATTGCTAACCGGTATCCTTGCCCTAAAGAGTACTGGAACTACCTGGACAGACCGGAGGCCTTTGCAAGGTCAGCAAGACAGCATGTTCATGAATTAGGCTTGGTTTCTGACATGGTTGTCACAGCATTGGTCAATCGGAGGATCAACTGGGACGAACGCTAGAGGTTTTGAGATTCTGGTTCACCAAAGACCTGGTATAATCTGCTCTTCCGGTTTCCGTATCAAATCGGGGACATCTCACTAAGTGGTCACAGAAATACATCAAGGGCAAACCATGCAAGCCGTACAATTCTACACTGGGAGAGTTCTTCAGGGTAGGTCTATATACGGAGGCTTTCTGGCATGATTTATCACAGATGTACTGACTGGCCTGGGCATTTAGTGTAGTTGGGAAGTAGACCAGACACTCCCGGAAGTGACACCAGCTTCTAAAGCCGGCACCATAGATGCCGTCTCCAGCGTGAATAACAGCAGCGGAGAACCGGTCAAGGTATGCTACTTGACCGAGCAGACATCTCATCATCCACCAGTATCGGCCTTCTTCATAGACTGTCCGGAGCGGGGACTCTCGGCTCGTGGTTTTGATCAAATCAGTGCCAAGTTTACGGGCACTAGCATTCGGGTTGCACCTGGCCAACACAATTTGGGCATTTTCATCAATCTTAAAAATAGGGATAACGAAGAGTACCACTTGACTCACCCTGCGGCACATCTTGGTGGTCTGCTTCGAGGGGCTCTGGCGATATCGGTCTCGGACACTTGCTACATCACTTGCGGGAAGACGCGCATCAAGGTTATCTTACAGTACTTAGAAGAGGGCTGGATCGGTCGGGCGCAAAATAAGGTCGAGGGCGTGATCTTTCGGTACAATCCGGATAGGGATGTCATTACGAGAATAAAAGACGTGCCTGAAAGTGATGTTCTTGCCAGAATCAGCGGTTCGTGGCATGGACAAGTCTTCTTCACGTTGGCCGGTACAAGTGATCCTCGGCCTTTGATTGATGTCACTCCTCTTTTCCCGGTCGCAAAGACGCTACCGCCTGAGGAGAGTCAACTTTCCAATGAATCCCGGAAGTTCTGGTCTCTAGTTACTGAGGCGATACTCGACAAGAGGTATGGCCAGGCCACCAAGCTCAAGCAGGACATCGAGGAACGGCAACGACAAAGGGCTGCAGAACGTCAGAAAAATAACGAAGCATGGCAGCCTCGTTTTTTTACAGGCGCTGTTACGCCTTCGGGTAGGCCAGAGTTAACCGAAGATGGGCTGAAGGCGCTTGAGGGGGTACGCAGCGGCGATTATGAGTTGGAAGAGAGTGAAACGAAGGGTGCGTAGAGGCGTCGTTCCATGGATTTTATTGTACATGGACGAATCTGGCGTATTCGAAGAAACTGTTTTGGCGGCATATAGTTAGAGGTTCATTTGGTCTTCTAAATTCTTTTTTTGGTTGCCCCGGGTTTGCACTTCTATCTGCTGTGCCGATAGTATTTGGCGGGTTTAGATCTCTTTTCATCACGCGGCGGGACCCCTTAATGCGAGTTATTGGCGGAGATAGTGTAGGGAATGCTGGTACAGTAATGAATGCAGTGGAGATGTTGTTTCCCCAGCATGCACTTTCCCGTCATAGGCAGAGTTGTTGGGGCTGGCCGCTAGATCGACCACCGTCCTAGGAGCCTCCACAATTTGGAAACCGCCTTTCGTATCTCACAGAAGAGGATATATATGAACATATGAAGGCCCCCTCAACAGAATCCTATAGTATCACGCCCGGGTTGAGCCCCAGATAGTGGACCTCAACAGTCAGTCCATACCCAAAAGCAAGGCTTCCACGAGACAGAGAAAAACAGACAAAACTCCATGAACCAAGCACAACTCCCATCAGCACTTGAGAACGCCCGCCTTTAACTCCGCTGAATTCGAATCCTTGCGCCAACGTAGAAACCAGCATCCCAAGTCATCATTAGGAAAGCATAACTTCATCAGTCTAGGCATTGACGGTGACAACCTTATTAAATCCCGCAGTTATCGTCTTCGTTATTTCTTCGTTCTTGTGAGGAAGGAGAGACAATGCATAGGCGACGTCATTCCATTGCCGCTCGGTCTCGCATCTTGGAAGTCGAGCAGCCAGCTTGTCTGCCAATTGTCGGGCGTGTTTCTCCTGAAAGGGCAAGTGACGTTAGAAGATGGATGTGGAACACATTATATCCGAATAATCCTATGCAGGCTTACCTTTTCGACAAAGCCAATCAAGAATTTGACGATGCGCCTTAGAGACGCCTCCTCGAGGTTGCGTTCCGCACTCAGAAGGCTGAACATGTCAACGAAGTGATTGTAAACTGCATTATCTTTGCTCGCCAACTCGGTGAAGAACATGCGTGCCAGGTCAGCAATCCGTTTGTCTTCATCCTCAAGGCACTTGGCCATTTCGCCCAACTGCCCTTTGACCTTAACCTGACCGGCTAATATAAGAAAAGTAAGCGTCATCAGACAGGTGCGCTTAACGGAGGCATCGTTGTCGTTCAGTCGACGATACAAAAAGTCTGTATTCTCATCAATGAGATGGTTGAAACAGACCGCCATATCTCCCAAGGCGATAACCGCGTTACTGCGAACTGTTGGATCCTCGGAACGCTCCATGATAGTTATCAGAAGAGGGAGGTTTTTCTCGCAGTAGTCTGCTGAAACACACATCAGCTTAGCCATGCACAACGTTGCTGCTGCCTGAAGGTTGCGGTCAGCATAGATGTTGCTATTTGCGCAAATCTCCATAACCAATGGTCCAAAATTGGACAGGAGTGAGTTCTTCCCATATAGCAATTCCCGTTCTCGGATATGTGCCATAGCATCCTGGAAGTCGTCTTCAGTCGTTCCACCAATGAGGTCAAGTTCGTCATCCTCGGCTGCGTCGTTGTTCTTTTGAGCCGAGGCAGTAGCCGCTTTGTTCTTCTCCTGCTCGGCTTTACGGCGCTTGAAGTCAAGTTCACAAAGTTCAAGGTGGACAATCTGCTTTATTGCAATATGACCGACAACGAAGAGCAGTCGGGATAATGCAGTGGAGGACGTTCTTTGGCTTGCTTCCTGGTCGTCCGTCGCGGCTGTCCCAGATCGTTCCCCCTCCCCAGCGACTTTCGAAGAAGACCATTGAGTCTGCGGCTGAAAGACGGATCTGGTTTTTCGCTTAAGAAGGTCAGAACACAAAACGTCGGGATGCTTTGACAAGGCGTATATGGCGCCAATTGCTTGCTCCGCCACGCCATACCATTCTTTACTGTCGGATACCGTTTCAACTATTGCAGCAAGCTTCGTTAAAACGGCATGATCATTTGTCAACTTGGGGATGCCAACATCTTTGGACTTTGCCTGGCGACCTGGTACCATTCGTCGTAACGCAATGCACGTATATTTTGCAAGCAGAAGGTCGGATCTGCCCAGGCTTCCAAGACCGATACGTAACATTGTCTCGATTTCCTTAATGACGACCTCGGGGTCTGCCAAAGCAAGCATGCCCAGGACAATTATTGCACCTCGACGCTGCGTCCTAGAGATCTCTTTCTTCTGCACGCCGTAAACTTGCCAAAGCTTCGCAATAACGGCGTCTGAAATATGCCCTGCCCTCATCATAGTACTCAATAGCTGTTCAAGACAGGTAAGTTCGGCAGGAGTCGAGCCAAAGGTCAAACTGATCATGTTTCGCGCAATGTAATTCGCAGCATCATTCGGACTAAACGAATCTGGCGCTTCAAAGAAGAGTCCTTTGTAACAGTCGATCAAATGGGTTTGAACCCCCTTGCCCTCATCACTGTTACCTTTTGTCCAGATCAGCCGAAGCATTCGCCGGATCCCACTGCGAGAAGTCTCGACCTTGTACACGTCGAGCACAACAAAAAAGTCCATGGCCTCGATGACCTCACTCTTGTTTCTTGACGACAATAGCTGGGCAACCAGACCGGAGGAGGATTGAAGGACTTCGATAAATCGAATAGCTTCATTATAATACTTCCTCGTCAGTTGCAGTCGTGCTAGCAGCTCGGAAGTAGCTGCTTGTTCAGCGGCTTTCTTGATTGCAACCGCCCTTTCTTCCTCAGTTAATCCCAGAGACTTAGAGGGGGACTCTTCCGGCATTTGAGTAGCGTCATCCAATAATGCACTGTCAACATGTGATGCCTCTGCGCCATCGAACCCAGGTGTCTCGGGAGGCCTCAATGCGTTCAATTCGGCATCCACAGCGTCGAGTCTAGCTGTCCACTCCTTGTGCGAGAGCTGTCCGCCGTGCATAACACTAAATGGATGGGTTGAAACCAGCTTTGCAAGCAGTCTGATCGCGTTTCGTCGCACGTTACTGCTTTTGTCTTCTAGGCTCCTTGCCGCTAGCTCCGCGACAGCTTGCCGTCTCTTGGGGAACTTCTGTTCCAGGTCACAGATCCTCATGTACACCTGGATGGCTCTGCACCGACAGTAAGGATTGATGTCAAGAAAGCGCTCCTCGAGCACATCAAAGAACGCATTAATCTGCGTTTTATAGTTGTCACTCCGCTCCTCTTGCCGGCTTAGATCGGAGATGAGATTGCCGAAGACTTCGATGACAGCACATCGAAGGGTATATGACTAAAATCTATTAGGCACACATTGGTGGACTAGATAGGTGGGAGGGGGATGTGCGCGGTTACCTCGCTGTCCAACTGCTTGGCCAAAAGAGTCATTTGCTTTATGATAAGTCGTGGGGCCAGTTCCGAGAGCTTCACAATAAAAGTAGACACCGACTTGGGTCCACGCGTATCATTGGAATTGAATTCTTTGTTTCCAAGCTCCCTGACGTAGGTTAGCTATACGTGTCATTATGTACGAACAAAGGTATGTTGGGTACTTCAGGATTTCGTCTGAGAGCTGAGGGTAATCATATTGCTCTGCAAGAATATGTAGGAATTCCGCCATAGGTTCCGACAGATGCTCGAAATATGTCAAGCTCTGTACAATGGAGGTCTGGGCTCCTACACCACGAGTAAGCTATATCCCACATGGGTGGGTGCATCGCAACTAACCAAATGCATGGCCGTGGTGTTTAACTGCAATGCAAAGGACCTTAAATGCATGCATCCGAATGCTCATGCTCTTCACCCGCTGCTCACTCTCGAGGATAAGGTAAATTGAGCGGGTGAACAGACTTATGAATGTATCACGATCAGAGGTCGTTAGAAATATCCTGCTGAGCTTGAGCTTCATCACCTTGCACATGGTTTCCATTGATATCTGAATCTGCGCTGTCCAGTCCCAGTTGCCATCCTTGGCATTCGCTTTAGATCTGGCTGATTTCCCCAGGCCTCTGCGGGCAGGTACAGGCTCTGCCGGCTTTTCTGCAGCTTTGACCTCCACGGCACTCAGTGCCCATTGCAGAAGGAAGCCATACATTTCTAGTAGCTGCTTGTGATTATGTATGCTATCCTGCTCGTCAGACTCAAGATCCCCATGGATTATATCCGCCTCGACCGATAAGCCGGAAACCACTAAATCAAGAAGCTTGCTCAGGGACCTGGTGGGGAAAAGTGACGTGTATCTGCAGAGAATCAGATCTTTAGTATCGAGTACATTGAAAGTAGGTATTTCAGGAGGTATATCAGGAGGTATATCAGGGGCCAGGGCGCACTTTAACAAGAACTGAAGCGAATCAAAAAAGGACGATCGGGCCAGCCCTTCTGGGCTTTCTGCGACCGCATCGACAATCGGGTTTAGTACGTTATCAATCAAGGCAGTAGGCAGTTGGTCTGGATCGTTTTCGCAATCGAGCAACTCCGGATCAGCATCAGGGGTAGGAACAGAGGCCGGGTCGCTCAAATAGTACTTCAGCGATTCGTTGATGTCAAACGGAATCCGGTCTTCCATGATTGGCTACTGCGAGGGCTGTCCTCGAAGGACACAAAAGTTACGGACGACGAATTTGAGGGATACTGCAAAAGGGATGTTAAGATGGTAAGGCGGGAAGGAGGGGCAGGTTAGAGGGAGGGAGCGCCAGAGGGAAGAGTTGGTGGCGGTTGATGCGGGTAGACTTCATTTGTTTGTATCTTTCCTTTTCAGTAGTTGTGAGGGCGGCGGGACAGGGTTGCGTACCGGTAAAATAAATCACATGCTCATCATCCTGTACCATGAACTCATGACGTACCTACAAATTACACTAATGCAGCTTCCATTGTATTGTAATCTGATGTGTACTGGCGCCGGTAATTTGTATTTGCGGTAACAATTCAACCGCGCAACCATGCTGTTTATGTACTAGTAAGTAAACAAACATTCTTATTCCCGATGTGCCCAGACCAAGCACCACTGGATGATTGTCAGAAAGTACTAGTAGTAGGAAGTGACGGCCGGGCGTTCCTACTACAACACTACATAGAGTATTGCACTCCTTCACAGATGCCCATACGCGTGCGGGCGGGCAACTTGATGTCTAATTGACTCAACAATACTATTCTGCGCTTTGCCATACATCTTATATCCTTGTCTCCTTCCCAGTCGCGAAGCAGAACAGAACATCACCAGCCCTGCTGCTCTCACTTTGTCGTGTCGCCAGACTCGTCCTACTACTATATGCAGACGTGATCGAGCTACGTTTCAACTGGCCCGGAATTTCTTGCTGTGATGATCCTTAAGGGCTTATATTGCAATGGCCACATTTCATGCAGTTCACGCTGATATCTTTGGCGCACAACATCCTGTCGCTGCGAAGCCAGGCCCTAGGTATACTAGGGAAGACAGTGCGGCCACAGACAGTGATGGATCGATAGAACAGACGCAAGAGGAGATTGGGTATGAGGAGGACCATCCTCAAGACAATGAGGACATTGATGACTCAGTGAAGGAAGATATGAGAAAACTTGAAGATACATTTCCCGGCATATCTGATCGGTTTCGGCTAGTGAACAGAATCGGAGAAGGTACAGTGCGGTTGATTAACTTGCTCTTAGCTGTGTCCCTTCGCTTATAAGCTCACCCTGCTTGAATCAACCGACCGACTGACTGGCAATGGGACTGCAGGTACCTTCTCCACCGTGTATAAAGCGGAGGACCTTTTGTACGACCACTATGACAATGACTGGGACACATTTCAAAGCAACCACACGGATGGTTGGACGGATCCCCCAATTAAAAGACGGCGGGTGGAAAACAATGGCCGCTCAATTCTGGTTAAACGAAGAAAGCCACGGTTCGTTGCATTGAAGAAGATCTATGTGACAAGCAGTCCCCATCGCATTCAAAACGAACTAGAGCTGCTACATGATCTTCGGGGTTGTCGATCGGTTTGCCCGTTAATCACAGCCTTCCGCTATCAGGATCAAGTCGTGGCCGTTCTGCCTTTCTTTCCTCACACTGACTTTCGCATTCAATACCGCACATTCATGGTCGCTGATATGCGACATTATTTCCGATCCCTATTTACCGCGCTGCACTCGGTCCATAAACACAACATCCTCCACCGTGATATTAAACCGACGTAAGGAAGCTTGCGCGCTATTCCCCGTTGTCAACATTTGCCGGACGCTGACCTGTGGCCCTGACAGTAATTTTCTGTATAACCCTGATATTCGGGAAGGCGTGTTGGTTGACTTTGGCCTTGCAGAAGTGAGTCGAGCTACAGTGACCGTACCAGTGCGGCATAATACTAAACTTTATCATAGCGTGAGGGATCGGAATATACAGGTACTTGCCTGTGTGCGAATGCCACTTACATACGCCGTAGTAGATTTAACCACAGCTACCACCACACCCATTGTTCGCCAACAACTTTGTCGGCTGGCTATCCTAAGAACGACTCACGGCCATCAAGGCGCGCTAACCGAGCAGGAACGCGTGGGTTTCGTGCACCCGAAGTCCTCTTCAAGTGCACCTCCCAGACAACCAAAATAGATATGTGGTCTGCAGGCGTTATTCTCCTGACATTACTCGGGCGCCGGTTTCCATTCTTCAACTCGGCCGATGATGTCGACGCTATGATCGAGATGGCGAGTATCTTCGGTACACGACGCATGAAGTCTGCAGCAGCCATGCATGGGCAAATATTTGAAACCAACATCCCTACCATCGGGGAAAAGGGGTATAGCTGGGAGAAACTTGTGAAATGGGCTAGCTGTGTCGAAGAGCTAACTGAAAGTGAGAAACAAGCCACTCGTTTGTTAGCTGGCCTCATGGAACTGGATCCCTATAAACGCCTAAGCGCCAGGGAAGCCTTACAGCATGAGTTTTTCACTGACCCTATAGACCATGATGTGGAATGGGGAGGTAACCCTGACGATAGCGCAGACACTGGGGAAGAAGACGAGGACAAAGAAGAGGGGGAAGCAGACGAAGTAGCAATGATATAGAGTCTCTGAGCCAATGTATGATAGCATCTGGTGTCGCGAGGGAAAAACCAAATCCTAATTAATATTAGCGATCCGTATAATGTCCTGTCATTTGAGGGTATATGTGGAATATACTTTCAGTCTCGCATTGAAGTTCTTGCGTGCATACAGTCAACGGGTATGCCTCGTGAAAATAACACAGCGAAGACAAGAGACATGTATAGTAATACAAGGATTTGTTTGTCGGAGCACTTAGGAAGATGTTATCTTTTAGGCCCTAACTATCAGGGGGCGCGTCTCTCAATGACTGCGGGCTCATAATATACGGATGTAAATATATACTTGAGAAACTAGATACCCAGAGGAACAGACCAAGGTGGATTTGACCAAGGCGCTTTTCAACTCGCCTCCCCAAAATCAACGTGACCTGTTTGTTCAGCATGTTGAGTAGCGCCTTTTTCCCCGATGAATGTCCCACCACATATATTGCAGCGGAGACGAAACCCAGCAGTATCAGTGTAGTAATGCCTGCTTTGTAGGACCTGGCAGAGCTCCAGCGACTTCTCAAGCACCAATGGATCTGCCGCATCAAAAACCTTGGTATCAAAATCAGGGGGCACATCGGCGTGGGTAAAAGGAGGACTGGAAGGCGATAAAGCAATGGTATCGTAGTGAATTCCCGAATAGACTACGATACATCGCAGTGAGGCGCCTTCATTAAACCGGTCGATTCGAAGTGTCTGCACGTCAATTGAACAAATCTCAACATCGAAATGCTTGCTTAAGATGCTCAGCTCGATCCCACCGCCCCACGAGCCCTCATTCTGGATCCAGTGACAGTACTCGTCCGGCTTCTTCTCCAGTACCGCCTCGGAATAGAGGCCCGGGTTCGCTTGGATTGTCTGCGCAATAACAGATCGTAGCTCTGTCATGACATCCACTCCCCCCATAGTCGCACTGCTCACCGCGCGAAAGAGACAGGAATTGTCATCGGGCATGATTCGGAGAACGAACGTTCCGCTGTGCTCGAGCGAGGGAACCTCTGGCGGATCATCAGTGTAACCTTTGTTCGGTATCTTGTCTGTCGCTGGCGCATTCAGTGGCTGCTTCGCTGCTGGAGGTTCGTCGCTGACTCGGTTTGGCGCCGGGGTCGAGTTCTCTCTCTGTGTGACGATAAGTTGTTCCCCGTGCAGATTGACCCCAAGATCTGCGATCTTCTGACCCAGAGGAAGCCCGTCTAGCATCATTGGTCTGATATCGGGATAACCATATTTTACATCGTAGCTCACTAAGCCGGTTTTGTCGGTGATCTGGCGGCGGAGGTCGTCGATAGTTGCGCCAGAATCCAGCGTGACGCTGGACTGTCCCGCCGGACCGCGGATGCGGATCCTCATTTTCTGTGACGTAGCCGAAATGTTTGGAAGGCTGGAGGGCTGGGGGTGGAAAGATGGAGAACTGAGCTGGGTCTGAGACGATGGGAGGTTGCTAAAAGGAGCGACTGCCGTAGCCGGTGCACGATAAAGAACGACGGACGACAATTGACCAGCAATCGATCCAGGCACCCGAACAATCGTGGGCGAGGGAAGGTATCATCTATCCGCTGGGAGTGGAGGGGAGATGCCTGACCCCGGCGAACCACACGGGGTATTAGTTACACGCGCCGTACCGACCGAGTCCGGAGGGCTGTGGCAGTGCACCTGGGATGCTCGTGTCCTACTCCGTACTACGTATATTATTGAATTACGCTAAACCATACGTACTAAGCTAGGACGGTATGTAATCATTCTGTATCGTAACCGCAAGCTGCCCTGCTGAGTCAGCATAGTTACTGCACGAATCTCGCCATTTGCGCTTTTGCACTCGTTCTGCTCCTGTTCGCACCCCATATGGGCTCCCTCTGTCGATGTGCTCGACTGACAGGATATTTTGAGAATCACTGACGAGTCGGTTTGGGCTCTGATCTGCACCAAGCTTCCTGTGTGGCCGCCGCCGCCTACAGTATGGAACCGGAGCCGTCGCAAGCGCAACCTCACCCAGCTCCTGAGGAACCGGTCAAGTCGATCGAAGACGATGGCAAGGCCGACAACCTGGCAGCGACAGATGGGATCACAGACGAACAATGGAGGTCAATGATGGGCGTTGTTCTGGCTATCTATGATTTCAGAGAGGAGGAGTAAGCCCTATATCCCCGTTACAGCCCATGAAAGAACGAGGCGGCCTGGCCGCTTGTCGGATTCTGTCCGGGCTCGATAGTAAAGTCCTTCCTTTGACTGACGGTCTTCGCCTTTCACGGATTGCAGTGGCCATGATCCATCGAAACTATTCCAGCGAAGCGTCAACAAACGCAATGTTCCCGATTATTATGATATCATCAAGGAGCCCATGGCTCTAAGCATATTGAAACAAAAGATCAACAAGCGCGAGTATAAGAGCATCCTCGAATTCGTGCGCGACTGTGCTCTAGTATGTAGACGCTCCAGCTCTCGGAACATTCTTCACAGTACAACCTACTGTCAACCTTGGTTAAGGAAAACTGACATCTCGTCCCTGTCCTAGATCCCTCACAATGCGCAAACCTACAACCGTCCAAAATCCCAAGCGTATGAGGATGCGCTCGTAATAAAGGTTTGTAGGAACTCGGGCTTTGCTCTCGCATGCTGATTTGTTCAAGATCGGTTTCACTGACTGTACCTCTGGTAACAAAAGGACGTTTTTATTACAGAGTTTCGAAAGCTGGTGAATCAAGGGGTTATGACTACGGAGGAAGCTGAACTTCCTGACCTTGGAGAAATCCCCGAGGCAGACCCCCTGCCAGAGGAAGAGGAAGAGGAGGACGAGGACGAAGAAGACGAAGAGGACGAGGAAGATTCTGATGATGAGAGTCGACGGAAAAAGAAAAAGGGCCCTCGCCCAAGTGGTAAACGTGAGGGTGGCAAAGACGACGGTCAAAAGTCGAATGACCCTGAGCTGCGGAAAAAGCGAGGCCGGCCACCGCGTGTTGATACCCCAATGGAGGCTAGAATCAAGGCGGTTCTAAAGGGGATTCGCAAGCTGAAAGGGCCCGGCAGCCAACTCAAGGTGCGACATTTTGAGAGGTTGCCCGACAAGGCCACCTATCCGGACTATTACGTGGAAATTCGAGAGCCCATTGCCATCGACATCATCAAGCGGAAGTCAAAGCGGAAGAAGTACAACTCGGTGGACCATTTCATGAGAGACATGGACCTTATGTTTAACAACGCGAAGGCCTACAATCAGCCCGAGAGTCAGATATTTAAGGACGCGGTCGATCTGCAACTAGAAGCGCGCAAGCTGGCTGAGCACGAGAAGAAAAAGCCAGACAGTGAGTACATGATGGAGGATGGACGTTTGCCCCTACCCGATGGCATTCTGCACAAGGGCGAGCTGTGGAAGGTCGGGGATTGGGTCCATATCCAGAACCCGAACGACGTGACGAAACCCATCGTAGCCCAGGTCTATCGCACATGGCAAGATTCTGAGGGTGAGAAATGGATCAACGCTTGTTGGTATTATCGCCCTGAGCAGACCATCCATCACTTCGAGAAGCACTTCTACCCCAACGAGGTGGTCAAAACGGGCCAGTATCGGGATCACCGGGTGGAAGAGATTGTGGATCGTTGCTTCGTGATGTTCTTCACTCGCTACAATCGTGGCCGGCCAAGAGGTCTTTCCCCCGACAAAGACGTTTACGTCTGCGAAGCCCGGTATAACGAGGAGAAACATAAGCTGAACAAGATCAAGACGTGGGCGAGTTGTCTTCCGGACGAAGTCAGGGAGAAGGACTACGAGATGGACCTCTTTGATGTTCCTCGACGGATCAAGAAAATCCCCAGTCCCATCAAGCATCTACTGAAGGGCGATGCGAAGGAAACCGACGACCTTCCCAAGCCAACCTGGGGGGCGGACAATGCACCCCCCGTGGTCGGCGCAGTCCATCGCCGCCCCAGAGACGAGAACGTAGGCTCCCTTCAAACATTCTAACCATAAATGATTGCCACTGACTGAACCGACGCTTTCCAGGAGTCTCCCCCCCCGGAACCCACCCCGTCACCACCTCCGTCACTGCCACCACCTACTTTGCCCCCTGGTCCACCTCGACAACCCTCGATCAACCCGTCCTCTACACGGCCCAGTGTAGATAATCAAGGCACTGGCACAACAGCGGGAGTAGCTGCTGCGGTTGCTCGCTCCCCAGCTGCGCCTGTTCCTCCGACTCAACATTCTCCGGCACCAGTTCCCCCGGTAAATTTCCATCAGTCCCAGATTCCCCCAACTCAGGTTTATCATCAGTCTGCCATGCAGAGGCGCACTAGCGGCCTTGTCCCTCAGACATCTCATCCGGCTGCTTATCAGGCGTCAGCTATACCTCATGCATACGCAGCCGCCCAACAGACACCTTACACTCCATATACAGGGAGCCGGTTGCCGGTCCCTCCCTTAGGGATGTACAATCCCAACGCACCCCGGCCGATTGAAGTCTTCCATTTGAGCGATTCCGCGAATGCCACTATCCCGGAAGATATCCGTGAGCAGTTCCACTGTGATAACCAGGGTCGTGTGCTTTTCTTCTTCAGCCCCCCGCTGGATGTGATCCCGTCAGTTCAGCAAAAGCTAGGCCACTCTCTCAAGTATCTGGCTGCCAAAGAGGAGCGAAGGAAGTTGGTGGAGGCCAAGAAGCGCAAGGAGAATCACGAACAGGTGGGGCGGGAAGTGAGTGTTAAGCGGCAGCGGCCTGATGAAGAGCCAGCTCTTACTGCTTACATGGATACCCTAACAGCCAAGGCCATGGAGGCCCTGGCATCCCAGATCACGGACGGCACGGACAAGTTTTATGAGATCTTGTACCAGGATAAGGCCGGAAGTACGCGACGAGCTGATACTAAGGCTCACGAGCGAAGGCTTCTGGGCGAGCAGGCTTCCCAGGAGGAAACTGCGAGGATTTTGGCGCACTCGAAGAAAATGGCCTTTGTTAGCCTCAAAGGCACCGCCATGTATCTGGATGATATTGGACGTAAAGCCTGATTGTATGAAGGGTTGCCGGATTGACAAGACTGCCGATCCTTACTGAGTTCCCACTTCCCTCCGAGACCGGGGTTGTCTTCTTTATTGTCTCCATGGGCTCGAATAACGGTACTACCACGGCACTCGACTTATAGCGTCTTTGAGAGGCGACCCCCGGGGTTGATCTTGGGGACGCCATTCATCAGGTTAATTCTTTCATGTAAACTAGCCGTGGGTGCGATCAATGTATTGGGATTGTCAAATCGTTGCCGGGTCCTCTTTTGTTTAGACTCTTTCCTGAAGAGATCTACTCCAACAACCAGCAGTCTACGTCAATGGTCTGCGAGGATCGATCTAGGGTCCATTTCAAACAGTTGCGCACATCGTTGACTCGTAAATTAGATACAGACAGCAGAATTATCGGAAAGGAGGAAAACACAGTAACAAAGGAGGGCAGAATAAGACAGAATAAGATAGAAGTGTACACATGGTTCCCAACAAACAGACAGAATTCCACATGCCAATCAATCGATGCGACCGATGTCTCCCGGTAATAGACTAGGAACACTCGGGAGCCGATAATCCTGACGCGTGTGAGATAATGCAGAATGAATGATGGAGGCCGCCACAGCTGGATAGCCATCCAAGCCCCTCCAAACAAGTTCGCACATTGGTCTAAGAGCCCAGTAAATGCAAGAGACACATTAAAGTGAGAAAGAAGGGTTATTGTATAACTCCTAGAGATCGCTGAACCGTTCTATGCAAAATTCCTTCCAATAGCGCCGGAGCCTAGAGCACTCCTTTTGGTGATGGTGATGACTTATGGACATTATCATGGACTGGTACCAACCTGTGGTGCTTTTTTTGTTTCCTTTTGCCCAGCCTTTGCTATCGTATGTTTTTTGGTATGTTGCTTCCTCGCCCTCGTTTTGATTCTCGTATGATTTTCTCCCTCCGCCTATCGCGCCCCTTTCTTCGGTTTTTTTCTCTCCCTGTTCCCTGATTTTTGCGCATCCACGTATACTCCACTTATCAATGGCAGATGTCCGGCCAAATTGTACTTTGAGAAATTGGGGCTATGGCTGGAAACCTGAATTGCTGGTAGGTGTTGAAGCCTCATCGTCGTTTGAATCGGTTTTGTGTGGACTCCATGAGGTACTGTTTCGCTTGTTGTTTTCCTCCTCCTCCATTGAGAAGACCAAGTCGCCTTGCTCCTCATCAATCTTGCTCGTGCTAACTGGCGATGAAACAGTGCGGTCAAGGCGGCTGCTAGCGCCTACGGATGACGAATGACGGGCTGAGCCAGGATGAAGAGATATGCCGCTGAGTTGCTGCGATATCATAGACATCGATGGTTGGCGAGAAGGACTCGAAATGAATGGCGAAACATCGCCGGAAATCTGCCGGCTACCAATTGGGCCCAAGCTGGGGCTGGTACCAAGATTCAAAGAAGACTCACGTAGCGGCGATCCAATGTGGGTGAGCGAGGTGCCGTGGGCATCTTCCTCCTTCCTCTGTCGCTGTTTGGCAAACAAAGCGCCAAATCGAGACGGGCTGGAGGCGAGCGGGGAGCCAACTTTCGACAGACTCGTGCCACTCATACCGAGACCGCTGAGATCGCGATGGCTTGAGCTGAGTTCAAGGTCGGTGCGCGACAGACGCCGGAGTCGCTCCTGAGGTGTAAGGACATCATCGTGCAAGTTCATTGGCAGATAATCTTCCTCCATCGGGAAGTTGCTATCATCCCAATCATCCAAAGCCGTGGGCCGAGGTACGCTAGCAGAGAGCACACGTGGTTTTATAGGCCGCTGTGAATGGAGGAACCGCGGTCCAATACTATCTTCAAGGAGACCCGGGGGAGATGAGCCGACGAAAGAAGAGGAGGGTTTTCTCATGTCAGGGCCGTAGGCTGTGTCCCGGAGGTTTCGGAGTGCATCTGACGGCGCACCCATACGCTGTGCTGGCGGAGACAGCTCCAGTCCAAATTTCGAGGGAACGGAGGCCGCAACCGGGCCGTAACGAGCTGCGTGCGATATTCCTTGGCTGTCAAAGGATGCAGGAAGTGGAGCATCGAGTGCAGTTAGGTGACGATGATTTGGGGACATCGGGAAACGCAGATCATCAACGGGTGATCCATACTTTGAGCCGGCATCCGAGACCAAGCCTGTGTCGATCGTGGGGATAGCGTCGTAAGGTTGCTGTTGCTGTTGTTGCGCATGTAACGCGACATATTCGTCTTGCGCTGAGACCTGGGAGGCATATCGCGGATCGTGACCGTTCATCCGTTGTTGGGAAAGTACCGAGTTCGTCAGCGCGGAGTCTTGATTGACGTAGGCTTGTGGATTGACACGCCCGCCCAGATTCAGATGGCTTCCACCCATTGCCATACCAGGGTTAGGACGATTTACCCGTCGGCCATCGGGGAGAATATGCGCCAGTGCACATTTCGCTCCGAACTTGCAATTACCCTACAATTGTCCCATATATGGTCAGCCTCAGGTGGTGTCGCGGGGGTTGATGGAGCATTCTAAGCGCGAGGAACCACGGTCACCTTGACACCAACTTCCTACCTTTGTGAAGTATTTGCAGGGGGCATAGTCAATCGTGGCATCCGTAGAATGTAGGAAGGGGCACGCAGGCCCGGCCTGACAAGCTCCTTGGCGGAAAAATTTGCAAGGCACATGCTTGGTGTCTGCGCGACAGTGACCTCCGAGTCAGCAATTTGGCTTCCACAGAGAGGAGAGAGCCCGTGAGAGTTGTGATATGGGAGACAGAAGCCCTTGGATGGCAGCCTGAAGGGGGGAATGGAGAATGGAGGATGGGACATGAACGACTCACTGCTCTGGTTAGGAGGGCTGCGGGCAGCCATATCGAAGCCCGAGGGGTTGCGGGAATGGCCGTTCTGGAGTGATTGTGGGCCGGAGGGGACCGGGAGAGGAGCGCGGCTTTTCATGTCACCTGAGACACGGGTCGGGGTACGAGCAGCGTGGGAGGAAGCCGAAGAGGAGGGGGAAGAAGGAGGAAGGGGTTGGGAGGGCGGAGGGTTGCGAGAAGCCGACAGCTGCATCGCCAAAGCAAAGGAGGAGGAGGAGGAGGAGCAGCAGCAGCAGCAGCAGCAGCGGCGGCGGCGGCGGCGGCGGTAACGGTAGCGGTAGCGGTAGCGGCGACTGGCGGCGGCGGCGGCGAGCACACAAAATCCGGAGGGGTTTATCGGGACGGGGGAGAGGGGAGATTTCCACGGGTGTTGGTGGGGGGATGGATTCCACTTTCCAGGGAGAGAGGAGAGAGCGGCGAATGCGTCTCTCCAAGAGAGATAGCGAGATACTGGTCACGTTATGCTCGATCTATAGAAGAGGCTGGGTCAATGTTCGAATCAGTCTTGTTCACTCTGTGTCTCTGTCGCGCTCCCTCCGATCAGTCGTTTGTTGTTGGTTGGGATTGATTGCATGCTTACCTGTAAGTTGGCGTAAGGAGATGCCCCCAAAGTCTGGAATATGTCAGGCAGAATCCCGCAATCACTCGATCAACACTGTGAGGGTGAGGTCCTCTTTGGCTCTGCACATTTCATTGGGATGGACTGCAAGTGAATGAAACAAGGAAAGACAAAGAAGAGAGAGAGAGAGAGAGAGAGAGAGAGAGAGAGAGAGAGAGAGTGTGTGTGTGTGTGTGTGTGTGTGTGTGTGTGTGTGTCGAGTGATCCATATCGCATCTTGACCATCATCCATTCTCCCCACTTCCCTTTCCCCAATTCGAAATCTCGCTCATTCTTCTTCCTAGTTCCTCCACCCCCTTTTGAACCCCCCATTGATGTCGAGCTCGTCCTGCCATGGCAATTCCCGTGCCATTCATCCCGTCTACCTACTGCGTACTCCGTATTACATCCTACGTATTAATATATATATACTACAGGCCACCTTGAAGCTATAGGCCTGCCTGAATGCAGTTATCCCTTGGGAATTGAGATTCCTGTCTCCTCTTTGCCTAGGTCTGGCGCATGACAGAGATGTTGAAGCCCTCGTGGGTGGCGTCATATCGAGTCGGCAACCACCACTCCTGACTCCGTCGCATGCGTCCCCATCCCCTCAGTTGACAGCCCCATGCTTCAGTCGTCCTTGTTGAGCCATGAGTATCATCCAATTAGCCGCTCGGATGACACTAGTCGGATTGTTCATTTGTTCATCTGATCGTCCCATCTAGCGGCCCTGACTTTGCTCAGCAGCTCCGGCCTACCTACTTAGGCTGCTAACAGTACTAGTAGCTTTCCTCTACACGTTCTTGATCTAGACAGGGCGGAGCGGCCGCCGATCGTCTATCTACATAGTGCTATGAGTAAGTACTTATATACTCCGTACTTGCATAGTATACTCGCTATCTGGTGCCTATACTGTCGTCTTGTACCGTATAACTGGTGACACAGCGTCTTCATCTTGTTCACACTCCCCGTAGTATTGAAGGGTTAATAATAACATAATGGCGGTGATTTCCGTGGTTCCAGGACATGTATACCCAGCCCTGAGGAGTAGTAGTAGTAGTAGTAGTAGTAGTATGCTGGCCTCCAAGGGGGAGTAAGAGGCCTCGTTTCATCATGTCGAGCACGTTGCCAGTCAGTTGAGGCAAGGGCCCTCCAACCCCAAAGACTCCTACATTCCGGCATCAGAATAGATCAATCCCCAAACCTGGCAAGTCTCGTACCCAAAGTTCTTCCCTAGTCATATTCTCCGGCACAACCTCCGAGCACTTCCGCCATAAATCGCGACAAATCCGACCGCGGATGTTGGCTTGATTTTGCCAATGTTTCCAGTCTTTTTCGGCATCCACTTCAAGCTGGATAGGTACGCTATCCGAGTCAATCCCTCGCACCCTATCCAGCCGTGCGCGTATTACCTCCTGCGCTTGCTCAATTTGACCAATATCACGTCGAAGCTCGGAGACTAGGGGTCTTCCACATATAGCTGCTAACTCCGCTCGCGTCTTATTCTCTATGGCCTGGAGACTGGTCACTTGCTCCTGCAGCCGTTCAGTTTTCCAATCCATAGTTGCAATTATCTCTGGCGTAGCCTCATTGCATGTTTCCTGTATAGCATGATAGACTACTTGTTTGCCTAGTGCACTGCAATCAATTCTATGCTCGCCGCTAATTCTCCCTGCATAGTTGATGACCTGCTCACCGGCTGCTCGTCCTTCGATTTGCTTGTTCTGGTGTAGTTCTCGTAAAGCTTTCGCGGTGTGTGCTTTGGAATATACAGCTTCAGTATAGAGTAATATTGCGGTGATGCCATCGCGAAAATGATCTTACCTTTCGTGATCCTATTGTGTAGATTTGCTGAGACCTCAGTGGCCTGCGCGAGATCAGCTATGAAAGGAAGACCAGTACTAGGTTCGCTTAGAAACCAACCGAGAACGGACGACTATGTAATGACAACAGCAGAAAATTAGCTCGATCCCCTTTCCTTCGCTCTCCTCAAGTGAATAGATCGGATCAATCGGTTCACTCAAACAAGAAGGGAAAGCGTACTTTTGTTTCCCTACACATCACAAATTCAGCGGTTGCAATGTGGAGATAAACCCGCAACGTAGCATGGCTGATGGCATATACTCACAGAGATAATCAAAAATCAGTGCACGACGGTCATGGACAGCTTTCCGGGGTTAGATTTGTATAGCTCTCAATTATTCTAGGAGTTGCTTGTTCGCTCACCATCGTCACTTGAAGACTTATCATTCTTCCCTTTTTTCTGGACCATGGCGGGGTAGACCTATAAACCGTAGACTACGGCGGGAACCGGGAAAGGAAACGACTTGGTTGCAGTTTAGAAGGTGAAATGAGATTCTCTGTCCAGATGCTTGGTAGATCACGTGGAGAGGAGACGCGTGACAGGACAACGATGAGTTCGATACCGAAAGGACAACAAAAACTCCAAGGTGCGCGCGCGAGCTGAACGCTGGGGGCAAATAGAAACAAAAGAAAAGAAAGGCTTGAAGGTTTTGGTCATGCTGCGAGGTACTTGGTCCTACGCTGCTGCACATAGATCATATTACCGAAATGAAACATCACATCGCAACGCGAACTGGGAAATGAAATGACAATGAGAAATGGTTCAGACATGGAGAGAATCACTATCTCTAAGATGTTGGGCGACATTCCCAGTCTGGACCACCAAAATCTTCTCATCTACCAACCAACGGGTTCCCAACACTCAAAGCCATCTACATTATTTCACGTACGCAAGGGGGGAAGTCTAGCACCCTCACACTTTTCGAATATAGCACAGATGAATAACGACCAAAGTAGTAGATATCTCGGGGTATCACATGACAATCTGCGCAAAGGTTAGTCTCACAAACGTGTCTTTAAGAGCGATAGGGCAGAGGTAAACATACGCAGTCGCTGTCTTTCTGGACAGCCGGAACCCCCATTTCTTCGAATGTCTTCGGGCCTTTGCCCGGTAGATTACCATGTGCTTTTGAGGCAGGTGCTGCAGGCTTCTGGCTAGCTGTGGTTGGCGCCGCAGGGGGGGGCTTGGATGTCGTGGTTGACGGAGGGGGTTTAGGAGTGGAAGCAGATGATGGGGGCCTGGGGGTCGATGAAGCACTTGGGGGTGGCATGGATTCAGTCCGTGGAGGGAAAGACGTTGAAGGCGAGGCCGGCGGTCTCGGAGAACCCGTCGGACCCCCCTGGGAGGGAGGGGAAACGGGACCTCGCACGGGTCGCCTGTCTGGAGGCATATTTTCTAGCCGTTGGGGACGTCTCCGAGCATCGGCGTGAGGATTATCAAGCGGTGCTGAGTAGCCAATATCGAGTTTAGGTGCCACGGACGCTGGGCTTGACGGGCTGGTGGTTGAGGGCGTGCTAGGAGCTGGTGAGCGATAGCCCATTGCACTGGGCCCATACGATGCAGCGCGGTTGTAGTTTGGCGCGTTCGTACGAATGTTGGGGTTGATTCCAAACGCGGAACTTGGCCGAGGATCCGCTGGCATTGAATACCCCGGCGGATACACAGGCCGAGCACGAGATGCCGGTCTGTCAGGGTAAGGGGCGGCGGGATTGGGGTTGTCTGATAGAGTCATCCTGGACGGGTCAGGCATTTCAAGATTCTCCGGGGTAGGTTTCGTCGCGGCCCCTCGCTGGTGAGATCCATAGCGAGACTTGATCCGCGCAATCGCAACTTGTTCGTGGTCCTTCCTGGATAGGGTCTTGGAGCGGGAGATACTATCGATCCGACCGGTGGCGTCTTTGTTCCCGTTCGCCGCGGCTTTGGCATACCAGCTCCTAGCTTCTTTGATATCCACTGGAACGAAGATACCGACTTCGTAGAAGTATCCCAAGGCGAACTCGGCGGTTGGGAACCCACTTTGAGCCGCACGTTGGGCGTAAATGAACGCCAATTCATCGTTCTTTTCGAAGACGCCATCATGGCCGCAGAGAAACCATTTACTGATAGCCATCTCTGCTTCTGGTTCACCTTGGCGTGCAGCCAACGCGTTATAATGCAAGGACAATGCGGGGTTGAAGTCACAGCCAAGTTGGCAGAGTTCATACGCAGCACCCATCTTGACTTGGGCCTTGGCAAACCCATGGTAAGCGGCTTTCTCGATATTCACGCGAGATGCGTTTAGATCCAGCGGTAGATAGTTCTCAGGGACATTCACCTGCGGCAGCTCCCGTGCCAGGAGCATACCGTAAACCTGCATGATGTGTTAGAGGTCTGTACAGAAAAGGATGGAACAAGCGATTTCACTCACGTAAGCCCCCTGAGGTGCATTTTCATCGCAGGATTGCGCGGCGAGGCTGATATAGCTGAGGCCCATTTGATAGTCTTGGCGTTTCCCGTGCTGTCCAAGAAGAATCATCATACCCAGGCGCTATTGATCGAAATCTTAGCACACGCAGTAATACGATTATAGGGGTGATGATCATACATAGAAAGAGGCCGAGTCGGCAAGGGCAACGCCCTTTTCGTAGTGCTTGATAGCCTTCTCCGGCTCTCCCGAACTCTCGAACTGCATGCCAATGCGATACTCAGCTCGAGCGTATCCTTTCTCCGCAGCTCTCGAATAGGCACGAAAAGCTTCCTTCTTGTCCACGCGGTACCCAAACTTGCCAAATTCCAGCCACATTCCCTTGATGAACTCAGCCTTAGGGTGGTATTGCTCGGCCAGGAAGTTTACGATATTCATCGCGTCAAGTTTCAACTGCCGCTCCACTTGAGGGGTCTGAGGGCGCGGAGGCTGGATCAAAGACAGGCGGGTTTCGTTTTGCATGGCAACCTCAACATAAGCGAGGGCATCCTGAGCCCAAGCTAACTGCATATCGGGATCGTTCGACGACAATACGGCCATTCGGGCCCTTTCCAGATTAACTTCCCGCTGCTCATCGGTAGGGGGGACGTTAGGTGGCGGATTGCGCAGGACAGGAAATGGAGAAAAGTTCGGAGCGTCCATGTTGTCGTGGGCGACGGATTGTTCGTAATGAGTGGACTCGTAGGCGGTTGGGGAGGACTGTCCATGGGAGACAGAGGAAGAAGTGCGCTCGGGGAAACGCGAACGGTCATACTGATTGTGGTGGGGGTTTCGGGCCTCGTGTTCGAGGTGAGCGATGTTATCCTGCATGTTCTCCGGGACTTCTGGCATGACCCTGGTGAAATGGAAGATTATGGATTAGCAATACATCAACCTGGGCAGGAGGCCAGGAGAGCTATTTTGGGAGGGGTGGTAATTTTCTTCGACCGCTGTGATCCGGGGGGGGGGTGTGACCGCACCTTTGAGGAGAGGGGGATATGACTTCTGGCATATAGAAATCATCCTGGCCCCCTGGATACCAGGTAGCACCCAGCCGTGGCTGACCATGACTTTGTGGTGGCCTATTCATTGTCGGCATGTTTCTCCGTTTATTGGACAATATTGCTTTTTCCTTGTTAATTTCGTTTCCACCTTACCCCTGTTGAATTTGAAAAAGAAAATTAAATGTCACTTGTCTCGGACCGGCGCCAGGAAATAGTGTTTTTAGCTCTCTGGTCTCAGCGGTTCATCGGAACCCCTCGAGGGAAAAGAGAGCCGGCGTGGAGACTGCTGAGTAGTGGTGGTCGACTAGTTCTCCTAAAGTTCTCGGAGAGGGGAGAGGGGGGCGCAGACTACTATACGGGACACGAAGGGACTCAGCAAGAAGGCGCGCAAGGGCTTCGCATCTGATCCAGCAGCCTCAGCAGGTGAGAGGGTAATATATCCATGGGGGTCTGTAGGCGGACGCTAGTCGCTAACCGTCAGACTATTCCCTGGGACTAATTAAGTGGTCACGATACGGGACTCACTCAGTAGTATAGGTGATACAATAATAGGAGGGGAGGATGCAAAAGAGGGGTCGGAGGGAGACGGCCAGGAACCGCCCGTACGGACTTGGTTGTGGCCTAGCCAGGACCTCCACAGGACTCCATCACATTTAGGTCAGCAGTAGCAGTTCGCTGCCTCCTATTAATCATTTCTACTTGCATGTTCCCGACCTCACACAGCATTCTGTATTCCATAGCTGAACTAGGCAGCCCGATATCTGATGTGACTGAGAGACGCAGGCATCCTAGAATAATTCACAAGGTTACAGTACCTGACCAAAACAATGAACTGCAAAGTATAATCATGGAAAGAAGGAACCAAATCCAATATAATACGTAGGGAAGAAAGTGTATGCCTGCTACTCCATATATAATAATAGTGAACGGAGTACATAGGTAGTAGGTATCTACTGTGTATCTACGGCGTAGATAGCAGGGAGAAAAGCCGGCTATTTTTATCGCGACAATCATCTACTATTCCGTTTATAGTACTAGTATCTACTACTGTACAGAGTAGAGAAGTTCAGCAATATTGATATTAATACTAATTTTGAATACAGATCATAAATAGTTTAGCATCAGCTAAAATAAGCAAGCGGTAAGCTAGCTGAGTCATCTAGTAGATTTAAATTAGTAATTTAAAAATAATATCAATATCAAAACCATGAAGATGAATTAGGCTAGACTCTTGCTAGCCTAGTTATATTTACTATCTCTAGCAACCACGCGTGAGATTAGAATCATGATTTTCAAAACTATATAAAAGATTTTTTTATATAAGCCAGTATTATATTACTACTAAAATTATTTGAATTTAATATAAATTACTTTAATCTTATTTCTTTACTCTTCTAGCAATCTAATACAACAATTTTATAGACTTTAATATTTATATTTTTAATATTAAGACTGAATCTATATAAACTATTTAACTTCTCTCTACTAATATTTTTCCAGACCCCTTTATCTACCAGACTAAGCTAATTAATACTTTTCAATTAAGAACTATCTAAATCTTATACAGATTTACAGATTATAAGTTTCTTAATTATATATCAGAAATCAGAGATAATTCTAATAATTAAAAGATAGTCTCAGGCACACAAGTTAATCTTTAATAAAGAAATCTTTCCTACAGAATTATATATTTATTACAAGTTGTTATAGGATGAGATCCCGTATATTAACAGACTCAGCTAAGCAATCTTATTACTACTAGCTAACTTATTTTACTATTGTTACAGACCCCTGCTAGTTGAACTACTAGTAAGGCGGACTCGCCAGGCAGAAAGCACTGATAAGGGCAGCGCTCGGGTAAGACCGAACTATTGTTTAGCACAATTGTGAATTACCATCACGACGCCCGGAACGGTTACACATCATGTGACCATGATAGCATGTCACTGACAAGCTACGAC